AAGTTTTTCCAAGGACATCAAGTGCAGAGGTATCAATAAATCTTGATCAAGTTCTTGATCAAGAATTTTCAAGAAAAAAAATCTTTAAAGAACTTGTGCAGATTTTCTCTTTCTGCAAGACGTGGGGTGCTCAATCCGAAACAGCACTTTTCGCAACTCAAAATGAGGTTTAATTTCTTTCTGCTGATCTTCTTTCAATTTCTTCTCTTCAAAACTTCGTTATCTTAAGGTTGAGCACAACTCCACAACGAACGGGAAACTACAACAAACGAGAAGGTTCTATAAAACTGTCTTAATATCTCTCAGAAAAGATATTGATAAATTACCTTGTATGTATTTTTTTCTCGAGGTTTTCACATTGATTGAGTAGAAGCTTTTCTCGCTATCTCTTTACTAAGAATTATCGAATGAATTTTAAACCATCATCCTCGTGACATTCGAATTAAAATGACTCATGAATGGAAACAAAGAAAAAGTTCTGAAGGAAATATTGACTTTATACGCAAAATAAACCTATCGCTTTCGTCCAACGGCAATTAATGAACTTTGACTGTTTCTTTTCTCTCTTTCGTCGCTATCACACGATCAGACAAAATATATTATGATCTATGATTTTCTCCGTTTTTTTCAGACATCGGTTATCTACTCTCCTCATTAATACTTTCATTTGCATTGCTTCATATTGCATCATTGCTTCATATTGCATTTTCTTTGTTTTGGTCTTCATTTCTCTCTTATTGCTTCTCGATAAGCCCGACAGAACAAACTAAAGTTCTACCTGTCTCTTCATTATATATTCCTTCATTTTTTTTTCTTTTCATATGATATTCGATTCCGTACAAGAGAAAGTAAGAGTGTAAGAATTATTTTTCATAAATATAACTTATATTTATGAAAAATAATTCTTACACTCAAGCTAACGGTCGCTTCCCAGTTTGCAAGTTAATTGACTTTTTATACATTTTCGTATTTCCCATTTTGGAAGCCAATTAGTTTAGAAAAAAATATAGATTGTTACATTATAAAAGTAATCAGATGTTGTTAATAAAAGAAAGATAATTAATCAAAAGGAAAAAGCACAATTAAGACATGATATTGAAAAAAAAGCTTGTAATATAAGTTTAAACGTCCTTTTTTCCACCAACCTCAAAAATATACTTATATGCTACGCGTCTTACATGATGAAGATAACCTTCAGACTCTATTTCGCCAATAGCTAATGCCGTTTTGGCTACACACAAATCGAAATCAGCGTCTTCGTCTTCTTTTCGCCGGTTTTTGGATGTTACACCACTACCTACTTCTAAGATGCCACGACAGCGAGCATAATCTTCTTCTTTACAAATTTGCTCGATCCACCGATAAATGTTTGGATGAGCCGGAACACGTCTACCAAGGAAGACAGAATATCGATTGGAAGGAAGTATTTGCTAAGGCTGAAAAGTAGTTTTTCGTGATCAGCAGCTCAAGCTCTATCAAATGATGTAAAAAAGTCGAAAAAGAAAATTTTTACTGAACATTCGCATTGCCTGCACCTTACTTGAATTTTACTGAATTTAACTGAATATAGCTAAATTTAGCTGAATTTACTTGAATTTATCTGAGTTCAACTGAATTTACACGAATTTTACTGGATTTACTTGAATTTAATTGAATTTACCTCAATTCGCATTGCCTGCGCCTTAAATTCAAGTAAAGTCAGTTAAGTTCAAGTAAATTCAGTTAAATTTAGGGTTTAAAATATGTTTATTATAAAAGGGCATTGTATAGTTAATTGATGTGATCAATTCATGGTTAGAATAACAGCACACAAATCAGTCTAATTCCAACTGCATCAGTTGCGCATGCATTTGATGATGTTTAGAACAAAGATATAATAAACAATGTTTACACAATGGTCCATCAGGTGTGTCTGCACCACATTGACCACTTTTACCATACGGATGCTGACATTTTGGAGGTAGATCTAAAAACATACAGAGAATACCCTGTAAGTTTCTGTATTTAGCGAAGAGATATTATCGACCTGCTAATGCTATGTCTACTTAGATAGACCTGTTTGGTGCCCATTGACGTGGTTCTTTCCCTTTGCCTTTTATTATTTGAAGAGGAAATTCAAGAAAAATGAAAAATGACTGTTGCATAATTATAGGACGCCTTATAAAAAGTTTCTATTGGAAAAAATAGGCGATACGTTTCGTTCTATAACATCTGAAATCTCCTATCTTGCATCCGAGATTATTGAGAAGAGTTTCAACTTTCGTCTACAAAAAAAGGTCAGTATGATAGTCAAAAAGAGTATATTACGTTGTATTAGAAACAAGTCAAAAATAGTTTGGGAAATGTGACTTCGAGGGGATAAGCCTCAGCCAAAAAGACGGTTCACCTGGGAAAATAATTTCCGCAAAGAAAACATTTTTATGCTGTGAAGAATAAACACAAAGAGCCAATTTCACTACCCATCGTGAACAAGAAGGAGGTATCTCTATAGATCAAAATTCCTTCAAAAGCTTTGTTGGATCATTCCTGAAGAATTTTGCTACTTTGCATTACTTTGTGGATGAACGCTAGACTAGGAAATCTTTTGGCTGATGCTTATCTCTTCGAAGTCACATTTCCCAAACTATTTTTGGCTTGTTTCTAATACAACGTAATAGGCTCTTTTTGACTATCATACTGACCTTTCTTTGTAGACGAAAATTGAAACTCTTCTCAATAATCTCGGATGCAAGGTGTTATCGAACGAAACGTATCGCCTGTTCTTTCCAATAGAAACTTTTGTGACTGGGCTCAACTAGCAGCCGATATTTGACTATATCATGAGCGAAAACAATAATGTTTTCTGAAGGATATTGGTCGCAGATACGAAAAATATCTTAAATTCCATAGATCGTTGGGGATAGAATAAATTATGGTCAAAATACGCTCTCATAATACAGAAAAATTAGAAAACTGTTAATAAATGAATAAAAAAGCAAAACTATCAAACAAAAGGAGGAAGAAAATTTTCTACAAGGTGACCTATTATTATGCAACGATCGCTTTTCATTTCTCTTGAATTTTCTCCTCAAATAATAAAACACAAAGGGAAAGAACTACGTCAATGGGTGTCAGGCGAAGAAAATGTTTGTGGATAAACTTACAGGGTGTCCTATAATTTTGCAACACCCTGTACATTGATTGATTTTATCAACTAACAAACCGTATCACTTACGTAAGTTGACCTGATCTGAACATCCGATCCAATCATTCTTCATCTGTTGTAATTCACTTGGATCTAGGTTCAAATAACGTTCTTTCTTCATAAATTCCAATACCTGATTATAAGCGAAATTTGGACCATAGGGTATGTTATGCGAATTATTATCTCCCTCCGTTCCACCATGTTCATTATGAAGTTTATTAAAGAGATTTGGTATGATTTGATTCATTAAACGAGACAGGTGTGGAAATGGATCAACGTTAGATAAATCAAATTTGTGGTTCAAATATGGTAACACTGTCATAACATTTTTCAGTTGAATAACGCTTGCATACAAGGTTGCATAAAATTTACTGAATGGTATCTCATCAAAGCTTGAATATGTATATGGTTCGATTTTATCGCTTGGTACAAAATCAAGAAATAGCTCTTCCCATTGTCGCCAAAATTTAACTGAACCAAATTCACACGAACGGTAGGCGTTCAAGAAGCATTTCTCGTTATTGTATAGTACATGACGACAATGAGGAAAATCATTTACTAACATTTCGCGATATTTATCGTATGCAATTCCTTCTTCTTGTTGTTTACGTTTGATGTCATCTTCATCGAAGTCGAAATCGTTCTAAAACATAAATTGTAGGATCGACAACATCTTTCATTACTTCATATCTTCATATCTTGTCGTGGCTAAGCTGGAGCATCCAACTCGGGATGTGAAACGAATGCAACGCAGTATCGCCATTTGTAGAGCGCATTTTATAGTGCATAAAAAATATTTTTATATCTCCTGGATAAATCTTAATCATCAGAGAAGAAAGCACAAATTCTTGACGACCCTCTGTTTTGTAACTGAATAATATCAAAAAAGAGATTTTCGTAAAGCTGGAAAGAATTATTTTAGGCCTGTGAAACAAATGTAATCGATGGAAAAATGATTCAAAAAGCCGTTTCTGTGGCATATTAGTACTAACAAATTTTTTCCTCAGAATGAAACAATTCGGAACGCTATAACGCAAAAATTGAACGACAGATTTATAAATTATTTTCCAACAGCTTCGTTTTGGCCAATGTTTCAACCATAACCCCCGAATTACATGAGATATCAACTTGAAAAACTTACTGTGAACGATCAATAATACGACGCACCCTCTGCATAAGTTTCATCAATACTTAACTTAACCTGTCGAAAACAAATTCCTGGCGGAGGAGGCGCTTAATCTTAGATAAAATGGAAATCGATAAAATATCTGTTCTTTACCTGTTCGATTACGTCAATGGTATCATTATCGAAAATTGGAAGGTTAGTTAACGATTGTAACGTTCTTGATACTGTTTGCACTAATTTTGAACTGTAATGTTCCAATATATTCACATCAGATAAAAAGTAATGCTGGCAATAATGCGATGATAACTTTTCAATTGCAAATGCCATCCACCACTGTCCCATAGTGATTAAATCCTCGTCATCGAATCTTGACGTATCTTGTAGATGCATTGTTTCACATAACCATAATACCGTTGTTTTGACGAAATACGATGGTATGTATTCATCATCGACAACAATTGGTCGTATCACCCTAAAATATATTATACGAGCAATAGTGTTCAAAGTTTTCTCTTCAGTGGTACGATTGTTGGCAATAACCACCTCTAACATTGAGAATGAATAACGAAATTCAAATCGTTCATCGACTGGTTTAGGACATTTTTTTGACGGTTTTGATACGACGAGGATGAACACATCAGTATTATCATTCAGCATTTGTTCAATCAAATACCAATGACGAATTACTACTCGATTGAGAAAATCTTCAAGTATACGAGGAATAAAATTGAGTTGTAGTGCAAGTACATGGTCATATTCAATTTTTGTACACCTATCTTTTTGAATCGTTTGACAAATATGTCGATCAGATAGATGTTGATATTTACAATAAAAATCGATAACAACTTTTATTTTTTGTTTTAATTTATCCGGTAAAGGAATACCAAATGCTGGTGCCATGAATGCGCAACAAAGCTCAACAGACTGTTTATTCATTGATGATCCCAAAAACTCAGGCGCCGCAGCAAAAAATGTGTTTAACTGATTATTTATTAAATTGGGAAAAAATGCCGAATAATTATCAATCATCATTAGTTGATGAATACTGTTTACCGATTTATGTAAAAGTTGAGAATAATTGAAAATTTGTTGACGTAATAGTGAATATTGGTTTCGTTTGACTTGTTGAAATATTTTTGAATAAATATCATTGAGGGTCGATTGATCTTGTGTAAATAGAACAGAACATGGTGCACTCGCATTCGTACTAATAAATGTATCACTCAGTTCAAGATTACAAAGCGATTTTTTTGTTGCTAGACTTTGATATAAATGTCGTTTAAATTGAACGCCATCAAAATAAATATGATTATTAGAATTCTTATGAAAAAATTCCTTGAATTTTGATCCAATTTCTCCATCATCATGATGAATGTTAACAAAACCAGGTGCATAAGATAAATCAACGATTTGACTTTGACTGGAAATTCTAACAGGCACAACAAGAAAATCAACTTCAACACTGCCATCTGGTTGAAATAGACGAGCAAATGATCCACCTTCACACGAACCACCACAGGGAATATATTCAACCGATGTGACTGAACTAAGAGTTGGATCAATTAATCTATTATTGGTATTTCTTGATATCAGAGTTGGGACAATACCAGCTGCCAAGCTGTACAGTAAACTCTTATCTATAAAATCTAAATAAAAAAATTGCGTCACTCTTTAGTTTTTGATAAATGAAAGAGTATTGAATTATTGCATTACTTTGATCACTGCACAAATCTGAATTCACTGTCCCCGCTATCGCGTTCATGATATGTAAATTAGATGTTAAATAAGAAAATCCCATTTGTTGCATGATGTCCATTGAATTAAATGTATCAACTGGCTTCACTTCATCCGCTGTAGGAGGCTGATCTAGATCAATAACAAACACCTTATCAGTAAAGAGCCGTAGAGTCTAAGCTGGAAGTTTTCGATAGAACGTACATCTGTGGGATATAAAGGAAGAATCAACGCATGTCAAGTCTGATTCTCTATGAGACTAGCTTCATTGTCATATTCAATAAACAAATTTAGTTATCTAATGCTTTGAACATTTCTCACATTGTCACAGATTTATTTTTCTAATCGAACGGTATTTTCATGGAAAAAATGTTGATTTTTTACCTTGAAAGTTGTAACTTGATGCCATTTAATGTGACACACACAGTGATCCTAAACAAATTGTTCTGTTCTGAATTATGTCGCGTCGTTCGTGTGGTGCTGTTTTATTTTATGGATCTACAGAATGAAATAAACTATTGCCTTCTCGTTACACTAATAGATGACATAATTGAGAAAATCCTGAAATAACGAATAAGAATCAATAATTCTATAAGCTGTTTGTTCCATCCTTCAGGAAAAACCGAGCAATCTTATCAGCAAAAAAGCTATTTATAAATAACAAGCGATTATACACGAAATAATGATAAGTACACAGTCTGATTTTCTATATTACAGAATCAGTTCCTGTTTTATATGTAAACAGTAGAGAAATCTAAGAATTGGGCCCGATCCGGTCGAGGGAAAAGACGTAAACCGCCCCTTTAACCAGCAACCGCTCGCACTTGACCGGTCCGGTTCAAACTTTTTAGACCGTTTACGGGTCCGGTTGATAAAAATCGTGATCGGTTATATCTATGGATAGAGATATTCTGTTATTTCATTCGAAGAAGCCCAAAGTTCTCGTTTTTCCTGAAATATATGTTTATTAAATTGTCTTACTTTTATTTGAACGAAAAACATTCATACAAGCTGCACAATGATCGATAACTTACATTTCCAACCAGTTCTTGTAAATCAACATAGTTTTTCAAAAATCCCGAGGGAAGTCTACCTTGAAAAATAGTTTTTAAGCATTCATGTCAATTCTGTGCCTATTACGCAGCAAATCGTATCTCGTCCTCTCTTTTTCATCAGAATTTATCCAAAAAATATTCGACACTATTACATTTTAAAATGAATAGTAAGTAGTAGTTGTACAATAAGTTTTAACTGTATAGTGATGTACATTCTTTTTTTCTCAATCATGCCACTAGGGGAAAAACCAATATTCAATTTTTTTTGAGCTTCTCTTTAATTTTTATCTTTTTTCGTTTTACTTTTCCACTAGGTCAGATTTAAAAATTGTTTTATGTTATTGATGTGCCATATGTTAATGATGTTTTAATTAAGGTTTTTGTATTTTTGTTTGAGATGTGTTTTTAGATTTGAAAGGCTGTTTTTGTGTAAATCAGAAAATGTGCCAACAGATTATATTAATACGTGTATTCGTGCGAAACAAAAAGAGAGGAATCTCTCTCTCTTTTGTGTGCGTGTGCGGGGCGAGCAGTGAGGTTAGCCGTGAGTACTTACCCAACAAGTCAAACGTATTTGTCGGATGTTGAATACGACAAAAAAGAAGATAGAAAAAGTCGAGATGACACACAAATATTACGCACACACAGTGTGAGAGTGAGAGAAAGAAATAGGTTGAAACGAGGTTTTGAACCTATCTCTTATGAATGAATCAGCTTAATTCTTGTAAATGGGCTAATTGCGCTGATATTGTACGGTTTCAATAAAAAAATGTCAAGAAAATAAACTTGCTTGAAATTTTTTTTCTTTATTCGGACTATATACTAGTATCATCAAGGATCACGAAATAAAAAATTTCCCAGTTGTCACTTTATTTCTTTCGGAAAAAATGAGCCTTTCGTTGGAGAGTCCAAAACTACTAGCATCGAAATTTAAAAAGACGATTGGGTAAAATGCTTATAACGTTTGAACTAAAGGTGATAGAGACCTGCGGTTTTCACCATTCGAACGCACGAATCAGGAAACGTATACCTATGGAAAAAGAGAGCTCTCAATCAGGTTTACCATGCTGTACCATTCGAGGCAAAATCCGAAAGCTTACCGTTCCCAAACCACACTTTGGCATCTAATCTCAAATAATTGCAGCCGATAGCTAGAGCATTTCTCTTCAAAACTATGCAAGGTCCAGGTCTTCATCTCCTTTGGTTCTACAGATACAGGCGCTTTCAGATGACACACTTATCTCATGGTAGACATGTCTGAAAATGTTAGAAACATGTGGATCATAGGTAATCGATCACGCTGATCATCGTGGCCATGTTCGCTTCATTCCCCATCAAATCACAACTCCAGAAAAGCCAATTTGGTGAAAAGCCGGTTTTCGCCTGTTACCGTCAAAAATTAAAAACCAAATATTTCACTCATTTCTCGTCCGAACGGACTCAAATTTTCGGGGAATGATTTGTAGAGATAATAGAATGTGGATCGAGCCGACAAAGTACATAGGATTTCCAGTTTATCCATACGATTTTTTAGCGGGTCTCTGGAAAACCTACCACGGAATCAAAACGCAGATCAGGTCTTTCCGATTCGATCTACCTTCTATCATCTCGGTTAATCATTTCCTAAAAATTTCAGCCTTTGTGGACAAGAAATGAGCGAAATATTTGGATTTTAATTTGTTAAATATACATTTTTGTCTGACACCTTATCTGCTAATGAACTGCGTATAAGCGGCTATAGTCTTCATCGTTTAGATCGGGCTACCTTTGGTGGAGCGACTGCTGTGTACGTTAAAGACTCATTTCCACATAAGCTATTAGCATCGGATCATCAGACAGAATCACAACTTATCTCTATTACTTTAATCGATAGTGTTGTTTGCCTTTGCAACTCCTATCGTCCACCATCCACTTCTTTTCCTTCGCAAGCTATCTTTTGAATACTTTGAATACTTTGGACAGCTGGAGTCGTTTTTGTTTGCTTTTTTGCCACCGGAATACGATCAATTGCTGCTAGCGGGTGATTTCAACGCGGATCCTTCGTATACTGGCGAATACGGTGCCCTATGCAACCTTGCGAGCAATTTCTCTTTATTGTTAAGCAAATATAAAGTTGCCACGCTCAACAATAGTTGTCTCGACTACGTTTTATATCCATTCAACTAGGATCCACCGAAACTTTCGGATTATCCTGCTCTTGGCAAATCTATCTCCGCACTTGTCTTTTACTCTCGTTCAATGATATATGCGTAGCTAAGAAGCCTAATGAGTTTAAAACAATGAGGGATTTTGCTCACTGCAATATGGTCAAGTTTTATGAAGCTTTAAGCGAAATTTCCAACAAGTTTGAATCCTCTCAAAACTGTGAAACTGCGGCTACTATCTGGCATTCGCATGTTGAAAAATGTCTTAAAGAGTATGTTCCTTCTAAAATTATTCCTCTCTATTCTTCTTCAAAAGTCTGCTAAAGTTAATAAGAAAACGTGATTCAGCTTTTAGGCTCTGGCAAAGAAGTTCTGCCCCTACAAAAGTTCAAAAGAGAGCATTTTTCAACGGGGAAAAGGCTGAGAACTGAGGTTTCTGAATGACTTGAGGTTTTGGAGGTTTTTACATCGAAAACACTCAAAAATCTGAAAAAGCTCACCTTTTCTCCGTTATCAAAACCGATATTTCTAATGAATTTTATTGAAAATTGCGGCGATTAACTTCGTCACATGCTTAGCCTATCGCTTGAGGAAAGCATCTATCCGCAACAATGGAGAACAGCCATTATTGTCCCTGTTCATAAGAAAGAAAGTAGGGGACTAGCCACCAATTTTCGTCCAATATCGTTGTTACTATCCATTTCAAAAAAGAATGGACGCGTTTGCATTTTGAATAAATCAGGAACGTTAGTAGAATGCGAGTTTGAATTTGAATTTGAATTTGAATTGATTCAATTTTCAGCATTCTGCCGCTATGTTGAGTGCCGATTGTTCAAAAATCTCGATATAGTGCCTTTAGATCAGTTCGAAACTAAAAATAAACATCAACACTCGATTCAGCGTGGCCAATTACCCCTACCTTGACCCACTTTAGGGTGATTTGGGATCAACTGCCGGAAAACGGGGCCCTCACGAAAATGCATGTAGCTCCTGAATGGAACAAGCTAGCGAGTCCGGCTTTGCGTGGTTTTGTAGAGGATAGTACAGAGGATCGTACCCATTCAGAAATATAGGAATTCCTCATTCGTACGAAGGTGGTTTTCCAGAGACCTGCTGAAAATTCCTAAAGGATCTCTGGAAGCTCAATGACTTTTACATGTCTGCATGCCGTGTTAACCGAGAATACCATCATATAAATTTTCTTTCATGCCCGATGCTTCATTTATTCCAGCAAATATTTGACCTTTCACTGGCATGTCAGCCACCTTAATCAATGGTACAAGAACAAATATGTTACAAGTTAAAGACAACAGCAATGCCTTACTGTGCATGTGTCATTGCTGAGTTTTCCAATGACAGATGAACCATCACCGTAGCTGATTGAAAATGATTTATTAATAGCTTCATATGTGCTGGATATGGAAGGATCAAAGCGATTGGATCCACCTAAGAATAAGTCAAACATCTAGTGTCATTTCTGTCTGCGAGTATTTCTTGACAAGGCTAAAACATCCACTTTTTCTGGTTGCTTGATACAAAGGATGGGAGCTGTACAACCCTTTCAATCCCCTTTCCCTATAAACAAAAGAGGATCCAACTCGTGTTCGATATAGAAAAAATCAAAGTAGCGGCCAAAAATTTGCGTGATTTTGTTTTTGGTTGTTTTCTCTTTGGCCATTATATCTAGAATAGCTGAAAGACCTCCAATTAGCTGAGGTGTATATGAGAATTCCATTAAAACTCCTGCAAAACCACATTCCTGGAAAGCCAAGATTTTAGAAAATCCTCAAGAATTCAAGTCCGAGGCTTCCAATGAAAACCAGTTCCGAATACCTTAATTGTATAGCGCAAACATTTTGCAACAAAACTCAAAAGAGAAAATAGCGGAAAACAAAATCAGGTAAACCTTTGGTCGGCACTCTAATTTGTCTATACCAAACTTGCATATCGCTTTCAAGGTACAAATTCGTTTGACTTTTCGTGAAATTCAAATTTTAACTTTTTGGACCGTTTGCATCCTTTTTCACGATGGAGTTTTCCAGTATTCCGAGAACAATATATTTATTTTCACGGAAAACGATATATCTTTATAATTCACTACTGAAACTCGAAAACCAGCATGTTCATTTTTTCATTCAATGCTTACTGAGACTTTCAAAATTTCAGATCAGACTTCTTTTCTGAGTATTAGTCGCTGTTCGATCTTAAACGATCCGCTTCCTCCGTCCATTCAACCTGTTTCCGTGATACTGCAGCAATGAGAAATCAAATCTCGTGTAAACACCCATGTAGTCCAAACTGATGAAGACATTTAACTTACCATAAAGTGTACAAATTTTATTTGGTACCCACAAATCCGATGATCCAGTATCAAAATTTATATAAAACTTTTGTAGTGGTGTACCAATATAAACGAGACCCATCCAATAAGATTGTATAATAAAAGAAATATCGCATGAGTACCTTCTCTTTCCATCTGCTGATCATAGATTATCGAATACTTACATCATTTAATTCATCTAACAATTGCACTATTGGATTTGATACGACCTTGATTAATCCCTCATTCGATGAACATTTTTGTGGTTGCATAGTACCATGACAATTATAAAAGCGTTGAGTTATTATACTAGGTGAAAATAAAGAATCTATTAAACGTCATGCTCTGAATACCTACAGTATGAAAAAGACTCACCGTGGTAATGTTACTGAAGTAACAGCAACAATAAAAACTGAAATAGCGACAATAATTAATTTCATATTGGAAGGAATGCAGCGGAACAAATTGTGCTGTTGATTGATCACTATCGATCGATTGATTTCATGAATTAAAATAGAATGAACTGATGCTCGCACCGCTTTTCTTTTTATTCAATGCGTTGTCTCATACAATTTGTACTTTTATCCCCCAAATCATATATGTGTGTATTGTCTTTAATTGGTTTTATTTTAAAAGTATTCTCTCAGTCGTTGAGTGTCTCTTCATCATGAATTTGTTGTTATGGTTATTGTGAACAGTTATTTTTCGAGCGAAATGAATCCTGTACAAAAAAAACAAATGTCTAAGAATACAAATCAGTTATTTTATTCTTTCGTTCTGTAGTGAAAAATGCTTCACATCTGTTGCTGTATCAAATGTGAAATAACATCTGAAGGAAAAACACACAAATAACGTTTTCTTTGTTTCCGCAATGTTGGAAATTAAAAACGATTAAAACCGCCCCTTTAGTTATACTTTTCTTAATGAAACTTTTACCAATTCTAAACAAAAATCTTCATCATTTTCTAACTGCAATTTTGAAATAATTAAGAAAATTTGTATGATTCGGCCAAAACCACACATTATGACGTCAGGTCTGGTTTATCTTAAACCAAAATAGTTCTTCTGTTATATCGAAACGGAGAAACTTGAATAGACTCAATTCGTATCCTGTGCCAAGGCGAAGCCCATGTTCTGCAGAAAGTTTATATCTGCACAAGATCTGTCAAGTTTCTTGATCTCAAAGAATGTTCAACAATTCTTGTCAAGATCTTGTCAAGTTTTTTTGGAGGAATCTGCCTGCAAAAATCTGGATCAAGATCTTGTCAAGTCTTTTTGGAGGAATCTGCCTGCAAAAATCTGGATCAAGATCTTGACAAGATATGAAAACTTTTCTGTAATTAACAAAATCTTTGCTAACAAAAAAAGTTATCAATTATTTTGATTACGACATGACTCAGAGGTTCGACAAAAATGTAAATATGCCAACTTTGCATTTATTTATAGTTATTGTAGTGCTACAGTGTAGAGGACTTCTGCTAAAATTCTGTTGGTCGATGGGGTAGACAAATAAATATGTTATCCTTTCAATCACCATTTTGTTTGAGATTGTTCTTGCATATATAAGAATAAATACTAGCACTACAGAACATTGAAAATTTTCAAAGTAAAATTCCAACATTGTGTTTGAATTTATGGTTGCTCGTGCACTTTCAACAGCTCTGGTACTGTATGCATAGTACCGTAGAGCTTGCACTGTAGTGATACAGTAGAAAAAAATGAAAATATTAAGTAGAAAATAAAGTTTAAGATTTTCTTTCAAATTCCCAAATCTGTTAACGAAGATTCTGATTATTGCCCATTATATTAATGATTTCAGAATTGTTGAAATATCTTGACAAGATCTGCTCAAGATTTATCACGACAGATTCTGATACAAAACTTGTGGAAAATCTGCAGCATTGCCCTCCATTCAGAATCTTGAGAAAATGATTTGTAGCGAACTTATGATACAAGAAAGGAAAGGTGACATTTCGGAGCACCAGAAAATACATTTCGATTCCACTTTGATGCATAGCACTGTTTTCGAAATAAATATTTTCTGGTTTGACTTTGGATTTGAAATAGGCATGCACCAGTTAAAAACTAGTGTTCTGGCTTCCGCGAAAATTGTTATAAGTCAGAGTCGCGTAACCCCTCAGTTTGTAGAGAAATATTTGGACTACAATTCCATATAAGTAGAAAAATTTCAACGCTATCTGATACAAATATGATCATCCTAAAATGCACTAAATTCAGAAAAAAACTGTTCGAACAGTCTACTCGGCTTCCAAATTGGAATCTTCGCAGAGCGCAGTTGGCCATGATCACTTTGAACCATGTGTTCTTTCTTTCTTTCTCTACACTTTGATTCGATGTTTTCATCCACCGTTCTCCGTCATTTGGTATCGTAAAAGATTGGGACAAAAAATGACAAATAGTACTCATACTGAATGTGGCTCATCCGAAATTAGTTTTCGGATATCACTTTTAGTTATCATGTAATCGGTAAAATATCTAATTTTGTAGAAAAATGTTTGCTCTACAAAATGCATTTGCTAAAAGAATTCCAGAATCATTTATAAGAAAACTCGGAGTATTCAAAAATACATTAAATCACGGAAAAAAAACTGTTCGAAGTTTTTTTCCGTAATTTAGTACATTTTAGAATGCTCTAAGTTTTCTTAGAAATGATTCTGGAATTCTTTTAACAAATGCATTTTGTAGAGCAAACATTTTTCTACAAAATTAGATGTTTTACAGCTCTGAGAGAATCGTGATAACTGATTTGTAGCAATTCTCCCGGATGCCCAACACCAGTTAAAAACTGGTGCATGTCTAATTAACATGTGATCTCTAGCAGAAACTTCACAGTCACTGTGTTCGAAAATGCAATATGACTCATAAGTCTATAAAATGATGATTCGAAAGTATAAGAGTGTACATGACAGAATTGAAGTTAGTTTTCGGATGTTTGCTTTAGTTATCGTGTAATTAGTGCCATAAAATGAGTATATTTTTCACAAAAACTATTGTTGCTCCTATCGGATAATTAATCGTTACGTGATATCCTTCGTAGTGAATATAGCCTATAGTCTTGATATGATGAAAGCTATAGAAAAATGTATGAATCAGGATAATGAATCAGCTGATAAGGTGAATAATATTCTGTAGAAGATAAATGTAGGTGAGCACAGTGGGCATTTCCTCATAGAGCAGGCGGCATTTTTTGCCGACATAGTTTTTTGAATCCAAAAGCACTTTTTTATAGGTTTTCGCATACGATATTTCCAGCAGTGTGGCAAAGGTCAGTCGTGGAAAGTTTTTCAGAGGTTTTTCAGGGGATTTCCAGAGACCCAGGCTTCAAAAACCCCTTAGAAAAAGTTTGTAATTGTTTTAAAGCAAAGTTTCAGACTCGCCGTAACCTCAAACCTATAAATTTGTGCTTTGAAAATATTTGCGCGACGCTGAGAGGTCTTCCAAAAAATCGATATCAAACTTCTAACAAAAACGCTCACAAATGTCCGACTTTTAGAAACTGAGCAATAATTTTCCGAAGGCGGCTAGCTTATATACCATTAGATGCAGTTTTTCATGCTGATTCCGAATATGACCTTATTTTCAAGCAACAGTACTTTCTCAAGGGAGAAAGCTGCGAAAT